CGCACGTCGCAGCGCGCGGGATGCAGACCGGCGGGGGGGGCAACCCGAGCGGGCCCCGCTCGGACGCGCTACGGAGCAACGATGGGTTGGCAGACAGTCAGTCCAGCCAGACACCCGTATGTAATAGCGGGATCGTCGTTTAAGTTGATCAGGCTACGGGCGCTGGCGTCAGTCCCCGTTCGCGCGCGAGCGAGCCCCCCCTCTCTTTTCCGCAACCCGTTGAGCCAAAGGGAGTGCGCGCAACTGGAGGCAAGACCCAGCACCAGACCAGGACAACGCCAGTAACTTCCAACGTGCGTGGGAAGACTTGGCGAGGTGGTCCACTACCTGCAGACAGTGGACGATCACCGAAGAGCTAGGGGGCAACGCGCATGCCGCGCGTGCTCCGCACATTGCAGGCACCGGGAGGCAGCATCCTCACCGAGCACCTGCCGTAGGAGGGGCGCACCGACAGGCTGCGCGCCACAGCTGGGGATATATGCCAACGTGCATGGGTAAGCAGCGCGCAGAACCACGCGGCCGCCAGAGCCCAGGCAATTCCAGGCGGCGCCGGTGGCGGCAAAATCAGGGCGGCGCAAGCACACCAGCTGGTGGCGAACTGTCGCTATGCGAGGACCAATTGCTGACGAGGCGCCAGCGCTGCGCGACTAGGAGGCCAGAGCCGCAGCAGCCCAACCACAAATTGAAGCAACACCATCGCAGCAAACTCAGTCTGAACGATGAGGAGATGACGAGTGGTGGCATGGATCTACTGACACAGCCAGCGCGACTGCACTCCTGGCGACAGCGGCGGCAGCAGCGAGTGCTGAAGACTGACAGGATGCAGCGCCAGCAATGAGCCCGCGAGCAAAGACGCAAGCAGCTGGATACCCAGATGAAGGACGCGGCGAGGAGGTGAAGGGCGTGGCGAGGAGGTCCAAGTCTGGGCGGCCCGACGTGCAAGACAAGCTGCAGCGCACGGCGGCCGCGGGCCAGCGGGGCAGCCAGCAGAGCCCGTTCATCCGCCTACTGCTGCAGTAGGCCTGCTCGGTGGCATCGCGCCCCCATCTCCAGCAACCTCGGGGCAATGTGGGTCTTGCAGTCTGCTGGAGGCGGAGTTCGGGCGCGGCCGCTGGGCGGCGCACGGTCGGGCAGCGAAGGCGGTTGCCTGCCGCTGGCGTGAACGCCGCGGCGTGCGCGGAGACGCGGAGCCTCAAGAGGCTTGAGATCGGCCGCGTGCCGCGCCGGAGCGCTCTGGAGCGTGCTCGGAGAGATGGGTCGGGGAGCGCGAGCGCGACGCGCGCACCTGCGCCCCAAGGAATGATCCAAAGAATGGTCCCTTGTCTCTTCCTTCTCCTCCTCCCCCTCCTCGCCCTTCCTCCCTCCTCGCTCGTCATCCATCACATCCCCTTAGCCCTGCCCACCCGCCTCTTGCTCGTCCTTCGCCTCCCCCCGTCCTCGCGGGGCGCTGGCCCGAAGCTCGAGGCGCTGGGCGTCCTCGCCAGCGACGCGCGGGTCGTCGCGACGCAGGGCCTGAAGCCAGGCGCGCCGCTGCTGGCGTGGCGGCTGGCGCAGGCTGAGAAAGCCGGGAGGTGTTCCGTGGAGGTGGTCTCGTCGCCGGACCGCGGGTGCCAAGAGGGGGTCGTCCTTCGGAAGATGTTAGGCCCATGCGGAGCAAGTTCGTTCGGAGCGCTCTGTTTCCGTCGAGGCTTACTCCGTCCAGGCTCAGCTTCCCCTGATCGGATGTTGAGTCCGTGTTGAGTACGTCCGTACGGAGTGTTCGGTTTTTCCGTCCGGGCTTATTACCCGTCCAGATTTGGCCCCTCATGACAGGATGCTGAGTCCGTACGGAGTAGGCCCGTACGGAGTGTTCGGCTTCCGTCCGAAATTTCCCCAGCCTGCCCCCGCCTGTCCTGGGCTTCGGTCTCCGCCGCGCACCGTCCGACGGCTGCGGCGCGGGCGGGGGGTGGGTTCGAACAAAAAGACGACATGAACATAAACTGTCGGAACCGGTCTGTTCCGTGCGATAGAAACGGACAAGGAGAGAATGGGCACGACAACCGACCGCAGCTCGTGTCTATTCTGAACCAGATCCGCTGTCCGTGTCGCCGCGGGTTTTGTCCATTTGAAGCTCGATGTCGCCTGGCCAACAGCGGTCGCCGTCGATTTTGGACAGCATGTGCTGTCAGGCATCATGCCACATTTTTCCGTACTCCTCGCGGGCGTGCCAATCTGCGGCCTTTTCCGACGCTGCGGGCGGGGCGGGGAGGGGCAGGTTGCACGAGCTCGAAGAAGAAACACCGTCATGAGCAGAAGCTTTCGGAGTTCCGCGCGGATTCCTGGGATCCGCGTTGGGCCCCCTTGGCGTCACTTCTGGCGCCGCCCCCTGCGCGCTCCGCCGCGCCAAAGGGGGGTGGGTCACAGCGACGACCCAGGACATTCGCGCGGGTCTCCGAGAGTTTATGCTCATCGCCTTTGCTAATTTCTCGAAGGACGGAGGGGTGGATGGTTGGCGTCCTGCTCCGGGTGCTCTGTTTGATTGCCGTTTGGCGCTCCAGGGCCTCAAGCCTTGGAGCCCATGTCGGTTGTGCGGGCTGGGTTGTGTGGTACCGCGGGAGGGGGGAGAGGAGGACGGAGGTGATGGGCAGCAGGGAGGGAGGAGCTTCGGGGTGAGGACATGAGGGAAGCGGCAGGAGGAGGATGGACGGATTGGCCAGGAGAAGGTGCAGGGGGGGGGGAGGTTGGGGTGGAGGATTGGTGGGCACGGAGAAGGGCAAGCTCTGGCGCGTTCGTGCCGCGCTTGACGTCGTGCCCCTCCCGCCCATCCCCTGCCCACTGCGCTGCTGCACGGCAGGCGCAGCGCGTGGCCCGTCGTCGGGGCAAGACGGGGCGAGGCCCCGCGCGCACGGAGGGCGGGCTCTTTGTGGGCCCCGGAAACGGCAGGGCCGTTTTTTCACCGTTTCCACAAAAATGTCCCTTGAAAATGGAAAGGGCAAAAAAAACGGCGACCGGAACCGGTAAAAAAACTGCTCCAGGATTGGAACTGGAGCCGGAACCGGTCAAATAACGGCGACGGAACCGGTAAAAAAACGGCGTCGGAACCGGCAACAAAACGGCAACACGGAACCGGTAAAAAAAATGCCCTGTCGTTTCCACGGCCCACTAAGGGCGGGCTACACCCTGGCGGAGAGGGGCGGCACGCACGGTCGAGCAGCACCAGGGGTGGGGGCATGGGGGGGAATTTGCAGGGGGAAAAGCAGGGCTGGACCCAAACGGTGTTTTGTGCGATTTCGTGGGCCGTCTTCGTTTCGATGTCGTTTTGCGGTAAAGGCGGGTTCGAGACAAAAGCGAGGGAAAACGAAAACAACACGAAAACGAAAAACACCGTTTAGGTTCAGCCCTGGGGAAAAGGGGAAGAGGAGCAAGAGGAGCAAGAGGGGCACGACGGGGTAGGGGGAGGGTTACCAATTTCGGGGGGGCAGCCTCAGGGGTGGGCGCACATTCGAACCACATCGGGGGGGCGGGGGGAATCCTTCGTTGGGAACGGGGAAGATGGGCAAGAGTCGGGGGTTCATGGAGGAGAGGGCCTTCTCAAGGTGAAGCCAGAATACGAGCGCGGCTGGATGCGCGCGCTTCCTGCTTCCAGAGGCCGTTGAGGGTGTGTTGTTTTCCAGCCCCACCTCTGCCCCTGCCCCACCTTCGCGCCCCCCCGAAAGAAGGGCTCGGAAGGGCAAGGGGGGATGACGTACCAACTTCGCTGCAGGCTCCAAGGGTCAAGGGTCCTTAGCCCACCTTTGGGGATGAGGCAGTCGTCAGACAAGTGGTGGTTGTCGCAGTACGCAGGAGGCAGCAGTTGTTTGCGAACGGCGGTGCTTTACGGGTTGAGGTACTACCTTCGGTTGTCCATTGGTGTAGGGCGGACCATCCCATGGAAACGCAACCAAGCAAGGTAAGGACAAGCAGGAGGAGGATTGGGAGGTTGAGTAGGAAGGCGAACAGGAAGGACACCGCCTTCAGGCGCTAAGGCCCCCATGTTGAACACAACCCCCCTCCATCCTTGCAAGCGTTGCAAGCTTTGTAGAGGAATGCGTGCGGAACCAAGGCGAGAGCCCCATTTTGAAAGCTCCCCCCCCCGCCCGTGCATTTGCTGCGAAAATTAGACTGCAAATGCGCGTGGGATTAAAGCGAGGGCCAATTTTGAAAAGCATCCGAATGTTCAACACTCTCCCAAGACGAGAGCCCCTCTCTGAAATAACCCAGCTCTCTATATATATGTATATATATATATCGGTGTACTTGTTTTACACTTCAAGCTTCAGGGTCATAAGTGATGAGGAAGTTTCAGACGAACCGCCGGCCCGCCCTATTAACACGCATCGGGGTGCGACAGGGAGGAGTTATCCATAAGGGGCAGAGATAGGGGAGGGGGCAAGGTGAAGGCGAGGAGGAAGACAGAGAAAGAGGAGTAGGAAGGGGGCAGGGAAATGAGGAGGGGGGCGGTGGGCAGGCGCGGTGGGGCGGCAACGCTTCTGTCGATTCCCCCAGGACTGCGGCTGCCGCATGATGGAGGATTGGGTCGTCACGGCCCAGATTCACGGACAGCCGCAGGATTCGTGGGAGCCCCCAGAGCCGCCGTTCCAGTTGGCGCTCCTTGCAGCGGAGTGCAACTTGATGCGCTGGCGCACGGCGCAGGTGGTGGGGCGTTCGAGAGAACGGATCTCTTCTCGTTTCGTCGAATTCTGTGGACATGGATCCCGCAAGTGACCCCATCCGTCGTGTGATGCGCGATCTGACTGAGTTTGGCTTTGTACATCGGAGGAGGAGGAGGAGATGAGGAGGAAGAGGAGGAGGGAGGGAGGAGAAGGAGGGGGAGGATGAGGAGGAGGAGGAGGAGGAGAAGGAGGGGGAGGATGAGGAGGAGGAGGAGGAGAAGGAGGAGGAGGTGGATGAGCAGGAGGAAGCCGACGAGGAAGGAGGAGTAGCAGCAGCAGGATCAGGAATCTCAGGAGGAGCAGGGAGGAGCAGGAGGAGCAGGAGGAGGAGCAGGAGGACCAGGGGAAGGCGGACGAGGGGAAAGAAAGGGGCTGCACTGACGAGGGGGAAGGAAGGGTCACGACAGGGGCGGCAGCACCACGGCTACATGGAGCATATCAACTTGCGGGGGGAAATTTGTCTATAACTTGCGGGGGGAAATTTTGAGCCACGTGGGAGGGATGGGGAAGGAGGGGCCGCCTGTCCAACATCTCCACCACCCCCGGCGTAGCGCGTGCGACGCCAGGAGGGGGCGGCCCGCCCACCCACTTCCCCACCACAGGGGGGGGTGCGAAGTCCCTGTGGGCAGGACGGGGTGGGAACCGGTGGGCGCCACAGGCATTTCAAACACCAGATGTCGGTACCGCAGGCTTGTCGCAACCAGCGGAGGTACACCATATGTCCTCCACCTTGTACGACTTCATTCGTTATGCAGTGGACTTTTCAGCTTGACATTTCAACCTCTCTCCGGCATGGGCCGGGATCGGGACTTGTATCCCTTGCTGGCCGTCCAGCACCCCTGCATAGGTTTCAGTGAACTGATGGAACTGCATGAGCAGCATCGCGGGCGCTACCAGAGTAAGTTGGTGGGCAGTACGGTTGCGAGCCGCGGCGCGGGTCTTACCAGCACGACTAGGACTAGCAGCGCGTCGGTGAGCATTACCCGTGCGACCCTTCTGGATGCAACGCGACAAGTTGGAGGTTGGGGGCGCTGTGCCACTTGGGGGGTGGAGGCTTTGAGCCACGGGGAGGCGGCGCGTCCAAGGGATCGGTGATGCCGTTTGAAGTGCTTATCCGGGGGAGTAGGAGCGAGGTGCTCCAGGGGGGCGTGACGCCGCGAGGTGATGGCAGCTGCGGTGTGACTTCCTGCCTGTGGACCCCCCCGCTCCTTCTGCCTGGGCCCCCGTTGGAGGGGGTGAGAGGGATCGGGACCAGAGCCACCATAGGGCTCGGCAGCGGGCCGGGGGCAACAGCCACCTCATGGCGACGTCACCCGACCGCGCTGGAGGCCACCATCGGGCTTCCACTGGCGACCGTGTGGGGTGAGGGCGGACGGGAAGGACTCGTGCAACTCATGGGCTTCAACCGAACCAGCAACAACACGGCGACCTGGAGGACGGCGACCATAGTGACAAGCACGACTTGGGCCAGCGTTCCCTCGTTGAACAGCGCGGGTGCAAACAGCACCACGTGTTGGAACCAACATCACCATTGATACCACTGTTGTCAGCACGATTGGGGCTAGCAACGCGGCGCTGTGCAGTACGAGTGCGCGTAGCAGCACGGGCGTTACCATCACGATTGGGGCGACAGCACCACGGCGACATGGAGCATACCAACACTATTTGAGTCTATGACCTGGGGGTGGGAACGTTGAGCTACGTGGGAGGGATGGGGAAGGAAGGGTCGCCGCTTCCAAAATCCCCACTAACCCTGGCGTAGTACGTGCGACGCCAGGGGGGGGCGGCCCGCCCATCCACTTTCCCACCGCAGGGGGGGAGTGCGAAGTCCCTGTGGGCGTGACGGGGTGGGAACCGATGGGCACCATAAGCCGTTCAAACGTACCGCCCAGGAACAGTCAGGACTCCGTTTTCACAGGCTCCGAAGAGCACAGACCGCCTTGATGGACCTTCAGAAGGACCGATCGCCGCTTCGGAGCCTCCCCCATAGGTAAGCCACAGGCGCACTTCGATGCTCACCGATAACACATCAGTGCTGTATTACTTCTCCGTGTCTGAGTGCGCTGCGTGACCAGTGGCAACTGTATCGTGGCCCTAGCACTGGGCCCCCGTGGGGGATGCCCCAAGGTGGCGCCTTCTCTGTCGCGGGCGCCGAATCACACATGCCAGAGCGCGTGTGAACCAGTGCCTCTCTGTGCTCGGGCGCGCAGAAGGGGCGAGCCTCGCCCTTATCACCACATCCTGTCTTTGTTCCCCTGTCGTGGTCCTCACAGACCGCGCCACGGGGATAGGAACCCCCCACCCCTACTTTGCATAGGCGGATCCTCCCGCTACAACAGGTGGGCACCGCGGGCGCTAGTACCCCGCGCGCCCGGACGGACACTCCGCCCGAATTTGTTGCGATCTCCTTTGCTTCGCTTTTCCCCCCGCGCATCCTTCCTCTCCTCTTCCTTTCCCGTTGCTCCTCTTTCCCCGCCCACCTCTCCCTTCCATTTCCCCTCGCGTCCCTGCCTTTCCTCCTTTTCCTTTTCCCCTCACTTCCTGCCTCTCCCTTTACCCCTCTTTTCCCCCTCACGCCCTTTCCCCCCCCACCTCTCCCTTTGGCCCCTCTTCTCCCCTCCCTCCCTCCCCCACGTCCTGGACCCCCCCTGGGTCACCGGCAGGGGCGCCCCAGGATGGCGGCGTCTCGCGCCGCACAACCGGGGCCGCAAAGGTGGTCGTCTCCACGGGCGGCTCGAGGGTAATCGCGCATCGCGGGGCGCGAAGCGCGAAGCGCGAAGTGAGGCGACTTGGGCTCCCAGGCGCCCCAAAAAGGCGTCATGGCGAGTGCCTTGGGGCGCCCCGAGGAGGCGTCCTGGCAGGCACGCTCGATTGGATGATCTCGAGGAAGCGCGTTAGCCCAATGTATGTTTGTGCTTACCCCAGTCAGCTTCACCGGTAGCGCACAGCCCGTGTCGGCCCTCATCACACCGCATGCGGCGTATTAGTATCGAAGAATTTTGGTGAGCAAACCCATTCACCCCGCACCCTTGCCGCCCCCCCCCCGCCCCCCGAGCATCAGGGGCAACGGTGGGGGGAGATAGGTTCAGGGGGAGGGGATGCATTGACCCCCACACGTCCACGCATCGCCGAGAGGGGCCCGATGGCCCCACCGTGCCCAGGCACCCGCGGATTTGCCGTCGGGGGCCCGCTGCCGACCATTCGACAATGTACCGCCGATTCCAGGTCGACGCCCCCTTCCCCCCCCCTGTGCCAGTCCCCCCTTGCCCTTGCCCCTCCGCGCAGGGGCTCGTGGACGAGCGCCGCTGGAATGGCTTCGTGCAGCACGTCCGCCGGGGCGTGGAGCAGCACGCCGGCCTCGCGAGCGCGCGGGACGTCTGGCCCGACGCCTCGGTGCGGGACCGGGCCCGGAGGCTGCGGTTCGAGCGGATGGACTACTAGGGTCGTCGAGGGTGGACAGAACCCCCAGCAGTGACGCGTCGATGAGTGAATTGTCCGTTTTCGGTTCTCGAGAGGGCGCCGTGGCCGTTATCTTCCAGGCTTGAGCCGGACAGGTTTGGGCCCCGCGTCGTTTTCACTAAGCCACGTTTTACTGAAGGGGGGTCTGTCCATCCCCGAGGTCGGCATCGCCTGGACCCACAGTCAGGACGCTGAAATAATGGAGGGAAGAAGGACGGAGGCGGCCATGACCGAGATGTCGCGGGATCTTGTCGATGCCGATCTTGGTCATGGTCCACGCGGGCCGTCGCCGATTCGCGAGGAAGGTCCACGAAATGACGTTGACCACGAGCGACGGTGATCAAGCTCGACGCGACGTTTCCGCGTTCCATCTCGGTGTCGTGGCCCCCTCTCTCTTGCCCTCCACAGAAGGAGCAGCTTGGGTTCGGGAGGAGCTCGTCGTCATCTGGGCGGCCTCCCGAGACAGGACGGACCGGCATCTTGGAGTACGGCAGGATGGAGTGCGACGGAGGACGGAACTGGCGCGGGGCGCGGGCTCCAGCTGGCGCGGCGGGGGCCCTGGCAGAGGTTCGAGCTCACCTGCGGGATTGACGATCGGAGGGGTGCCAGTGGAGACAGCGGCGGTCTCCCTGGCGTTTCTCATCTTTTCCCAAGGCGCCCTCGAGGGCGCGAAGCTCTTCGCGCTTCGCGGTTCGGCTCCGACTCCTCCTCATCCTCTTCTCCCCCGGGAGGCGGCGCGAGAGCGCGAAGTTATTCGCACTTCGCGCTTCTCGCAGCGCGAAGCGCGAAGTTGGGAGCCCTTGTTTTCTGGGCCTCCTGAAGGCTTCTCGCCGCCACGGCTGGATCCGCATTGAAAAATAGTTTGGAGGGATCCCATGAGGGGTCCAGGGACCGATTCTCAGCGGATTTGCGCTTGGCGAGAGAGCCGCCGTTGTCGCAACTGGTCTTCCTCCGAGGCGAGCTTTCCGCCAGCCGAAGAAAGTCATGGCACTCGTCGTTGTTGCCACGCTCCTGGTAGATTGAGATGGTGGATAATTACTCTTTCGCATTTGCTGACTGCCATCTTTACCTCACGCTGGTATATTATGAGTGGTACTGTTGATCCCGACGTCAAGCAATCGGATGACCATCGATGGGTACCGTCAGGAAGAATGTCGCCGGAGTCGCGTTTTACAGAGGTCATACGGGGCATTGCCATGACGAAGCTGTGTGCCCCACTTTCCAGCAAAACAGCAACACAGAGAGCCGACGCACAGTAATTAGTCGGAGGATGGTCGGCTGGGGAAGTACTTGATTTGATCTTTCTTTTTGCGTGATCTGTCAGTTCTGTCAGCTGCTGGACCTGTCTGGTGTGTACGCCAGGTATGAATGGTATGTCTGGCTTGCTTGCCTTGTGTTTCCTGTTCGGCTTGTTTGCTTGTTTGTCTGTTCTGTCAGTACTGCTCACCTGGTATATCCACTTTGTCTTATTAACTGGTCTGTCTGCTCATCTGGTTTCTTCTCGGGTTGGATCGGTCATGTCTGCCTGAGGCCCTCTTGGGGGGGCAGTGCGGCGCAGTGCGGGGAGGCAAAGGGATCTGGGTCTGGGAGGGATGTGGGAGGGAAGCGAATGAAGAATGACGGAGAACGGATGAACGAAAGGGGTCCAGGCTTCATCGCGCCGAGGGGTCAACTAACTACAACTCCGTCCCATCTGTATCGTCATGCCTGTTCTCTCCGTTCGTTTCCCGTCACTTTCTTCTCCTCTTCCCCCTCCATGTCCGTGCTCTTCCTAGTCCTTCATCTTCCTTCCTTTCTTCAGGGCACGACTGCGGGAGGGATACTGTCAGACGTCCACGGGAGGGTGGTTAGACCTTCGGCGGGAGGAGGGGGGATGATGTCAGAGGTAAGAGGGAGGACGTGCAGGATCAGGAGGAGGCGAATGAGGAGGACTCGAACGAGAATGACGGCGAGGACGCAGAAGAGGAAATTCACGTGGAAGCGGACGAGGCAGACAGGGAGGGAGGAGTGAGCAGGAGGACCCAGGGCAGGAGCAGGAAGATATGGAGAACGAGGGGGAGACAGGAGAAGCAGGAGGATGGAGGAGGCAGGATGACAGGGGGGAGGGAGAAGGCAAGTTGGAAGTGGAAGGCGGAAGGCGGGAGGTAGGTAGGAGGAGGGATGAGGACGGAATTGAGGAGGGAAAGGGGGAGAGGGATTCGGAGGAGATAGAGGCATCGCGGCGGAAGAAGGCAATGTGGAGGGCGGAGAAGAGAAACTAGGGGAGGGAGGATGTGCAGAACAAAAAACATCATGGGATTAGCACAGGGGTAATGACGACAACGAGGACTATGAGGAGAGGAGGAGGAGGAGGAGGAGGAGGAGGAGGAGGAGGAGCTGGAGCAGGAGCAGGAGCAGGAGGAGGAGGAGGAGGCGGAGGAGGAGGAGGAGGAGAGGCAGGGGGGGAGGAGGAGCAGAGCGAATGGGGACACGATGGCCGCCGCCTCGAGGGCATCGCGCCATGCGTGCGTGGCTGTGGCGGCGCCCGCCGCCGTGCACTCCAAGTTACCGTGCAGGAGCCGTGTCCGTGAGTGATGACGATGACGATGACGATTTCGTCATCATCGTCATCGTCATCGTCATCGAGGGAAGCGGATCCTGGACTCCGGGGCCTCCTTTCATCATGAGTAGGTGTTTGACGGACCAGGTGCCTGTGAGGGAGCGCCCGAATCTTGAGAGCGGAGGAGAATCGAAGGAACCGTTTTCCTCATGAATTTGTTCTTTCCTGGCGACCAGAGAGGAGTCCGGGGGAGGGGGGGGCGGCCTGGAACAGGAGCGACTCTCTTCCAGCTTCCTTCCTCCTCCCCTTCCCTCATCACCGTCTTTCCTCGGGGTTGCATTCTCAAGGTTTCACATGGGGCTTGGCTTGTGGTGTTGCAAGTGTTGCGTGACTTCTGCAGCAGAACAGCTTGCACAGCTCGGCAAGGAACGCAGCAGACGCCTCGATGGTAATCGACTCGGTTCTCGCAAGCGTATTCTCCAGGGCCTGTGGCCGAAGGTCTATAGCAAGCGGGAGCAGGCCAGAAGAGCCAGGAAGCAGCAGGGTTCAGCCTGCTTCCCCATCGTAGCCGACACATTCGCCATACCCGTAGCTCCGTAGCTCCCCTTCCCTTGCCTCCCGCCTCCCCGCTCCTCCCTCCGGTCCCTCCGCCCCCCTCCAGACACTCGGGCCACGGAGCTCCACGCCGTTTCTCTGCACTCCAGTTGCCCCTCGAGCGCTGCGACGACAGCGACGAAAAGAGGAGGAGGAGGAGGAGGAGGAGGAGGAGGAGGAGGAGGAGGAGGAGGAGGAGGAGGAGGAGGAGTGGGAGGAGTGGGAGGAGTGGGGAGGAGGGGTGCGGGAGGCAGGCGGGGGGAGGCAGGAGGTGAGGCCTAGGATGCCCGATGCCTGGGCTCGCGCGCCCGGCGTGGCTCGAGGGCGGACTCGCCCGCAGCGCCGCCGCCGCCGCCTGCGGCCTTCGCCCTCTCCCCCCCCCTCCCCCTCCTCTCCTCGCGGCGAACTGACTGGCCTGGGCCCTCCCTCGCCTCCTCCTCCTCCTCCTCCTCATCCTCCCCTCCTCTCCTCCTCCTCCTCCTCCTCCTCATTCTCATCCTCCTCCTCCTCCTCCTCCTACGATTATAACTTCTATTTCCCTTCCCCTTTTCTCCTCGTTCTAATCACCAGGCTCTCCTTTCCTCCTCCCCCTCCCCCTCCCCCTCCTCCTCCTTCTCCTCCTCCTCCTCCTCCTCCTCCTCCTCATCCTCCTCCTCCTCATGCCCCTCCTCCCCCTCCTCCTTCACCCTGAAAAAATCGTCGTCGTCGCACCAACATACGTGGTGGTAGGGCAGACCAGACGTTGCGGGCGTTGGTCATCCTCTTGGTCGTGTTCCTCCTTTCCCCCACCCTCTGCCCATCTCGGGCGAGCGATCGGGCGTAATCCTTGTTTGGGCTCCCAGGTGGCAGCTTAGGGGAACGCCAGCTATGTGCCAACATCGATCCGTGCCTGGCCAGCCCTGGATCCGCGATCGATGTACATGTGTTCATTGCCAGGCCGGGATGACATACACACCGACCTTGGGCCCAGGATGGGCCTGGGCAGGGTTGGTGTCAGTGCATTGATGGCGTCATCCGATGCGGAGGAGTGGGAAGGGGGATGCGGAACAAATACATTGAACGTTCATTGTTCTTCTATTCGGCCTCGTCCTGTCGCCGCAAGAACCCCGCCTGTCTCCCCCCCCCGCTCGGCCTCCACGGCCGCGCAGCCTGCGCTAAGCCGTGGGCTCATGTGGTCCACGTGCTGCAGCGTCACAAAGTCCAGACCCAGCGGCCAGGAGCGACAGACGTTTCTGGGCTGGCGGGGAAGGGTGAGGCCCCAGGAGGAGGTGAAGGATGACGGGGCGGGAGCAGGGTGCTTTCGGAATCTGGACGTGGTGCATTCAGCAGCGGGGCGAGAGCTCAAGAACTCGTCGACAAGCGGGAAGGGAAAATGGGGGAGTGTGAGGGAGGGTGGTGTTGGCTCCAGCATTGCGGCGGTTCTAGCGCCAAACACATCGAACGACAAGAAAAACACATAGCCCGTGAGACAGGGCAACGCGCGCATTTCTTGTTCCGACCGCAGCCTCTCGGAGTGAGGAGAGGCGCCCCGCTGTGATCCCGTGGCCTGCCGTTGGAAAACGGGCCCGCCAGGCAGGGAGGGGTGTTGGGGCGCGGGCTGGCGGAAGCAATGGAAAAGGGAGCGATGTAAAGAAAGCGTGAGAGTATGTTGCCAATACAAGAAGGCGTTGCGCAAGGAATCCATGGGACATGTTCGAAGGCCCACGACGGGAAATCGCAAGACACTTCTACGGAACAGATGCGGCAATGCAGGATTCCATTGGCAACGTGAAAGACAGAAAGACTTCTCCACTGAGATATCACAAGAAGCCTTCCACTGGAAGCAGGCCTGGGTACCATCAGCTAAGAGTGTCACGAACTACACACTGGAGGAGCGAAGCGGACATTGGAACATGCACAACCAGTTCACCCACCAGTTCACCCACACACACATATATATATATATATATATATATATATATACATACATATATATAGATAATAAACAAATATCACGTCTACCTTACTTGCCTCGCGGGTCATGGCCATGCTCAGCCCGGAGCACCAAAGCCGCATCAGTCGAGCGATACGCGCGCGAGGTCCGTGGCCGCAGCATCGACTGCTCTCCGAGTCGCTGCCTCCTTTGCCGTCTCGGGCCTGTCTGAGGACTGCAGCACGCTGTGGCCGCCCCAACCCTGCGCGACGTTCTCCGCCTCCGGCACTGCGGGCGAAAGGGCCTCCTCGACCGCGGCGGCCCCCACCGCGGGCGGCTCTCCGGGTCCATCGCGACATGCACGGCAGCAGCGGCGCTGGTGCCTTGCAGCAGCACTGTCGGCGTGGCGCCAGGCAGCTTCCAGAAGTGCGTCGCCTGCGCATCCACTGTTGGCACCAAACAAGGAGCCTCTTTCAGCTGTTCCTGGCTTCAGCATCCGCTCACAACTGGGACTCAGCACGGCAGAGGCCGGCTGGAAACTCCCAGGAGGAACCATTGACCATGCGGGGACAGCGCCCGTCGCAGCCAGAGGAATAGAAGGCGCCTGAGGAGCTGCATGCCGGACACGCGGATCCGCCCGCAGGGCGGCCGCCAGTGCTTCGCCGAGACCCGTGGACTTGCGGCGACATGTCTGCGAAGCTCCGGGGGAAAGTGCGCGTGCCGCTGGCGCTATGCGTTCTGTAGTTGTGAGCCGAGGGCGCCCTCGTGCCACCGAGGGTCGAGTGCCTGGAGGGCGGCTGGAGAAGAGGAGCAGGAGGGCAGAAGGGAAGGGCAGCGGCCGAGGGGCCGCCTGGCGCTGGCTCTCAGCACCCAGCGGGGTGCCGTCGGAGCCGGCGCTGGAGGTTTGGGAGGTTTGGTTGAGGGCGAGGTTTAGGAGGAAGGTGATCCCTGGACACTTCCCAACTGCCCCCCCCCCCTGGACGACCCCCCCCCGCGGAGGAGGGATCAAAGGGAGGGGGGTTTTCCTTTCGACTCGATTGCGACTTTGCCCTGGATGTGTGGACGATGTGGGTGGAAATCCATCGGAGTAGCCTTTGGCTGGAACGTTGAAGGAGAAGGGCCCAAGGACAGGGGGGCAGTGGCGACGGCGACGACGACGATTACTCAAACGGAGAAGCGTCAAGGGAGGGGAGCGGCAACGACGACGACGGCGACGACGACGACTCAAACGGAAGCTTCTCACACACGTCGGCAGGGTCGGCGGATGTGGCGAACTCAGTCAATGTCTCGGCCTTCTTGCTTCTCCTTTGGAGCCTCCCGGAGCCCCCTCATGACGAGCAGTGCTCGGCCCTCTTGCAGGATCTTGGGTCGCGCAGAATCCATTGGAGATCAGTTCGGAACATATTACAAGGGATTCTCGCCCTATGCGCGCGGAGCCATTACGGTTTCACAAGGACGGCCAGGGGAGCGCACTCCCAGCGTTCTCTCCAAGAGATTGCAACCCTGGGAGCAGGGACCCCTTGCAGTTAAACATGGATCGCGGCCCTGGTAGCGCGGACCCCCTCCAATTTACCAGAGGTCGTGATCCTGGGAGCGTGGACCCAGTATAATGTATTGTCAAGCGGGACGTGCTTCCAGCGTAATTGTCAAGGGATCGTGGCGCTGAGAGCGCGGATCTAGCGTAACTGCCAAGGGATGTGGATTGGGTAGCCCATCCAGCGTAATTTGCGAGGGTCCAAAGATAAATCGTCATTCGTACGATCGTAGCCACTGGAGCGCCGATCTAGCGTGTTCGGTGTCGCTAGAAGCAGACAGTTCTTAGGCCCCAGCGCTGAGCTTCGTTTGATCTGGTGCAGAAGAACTGATATGGCTGCTGAAGCAGATTCTCTCCTCTCCCGCCTCCCCTGATCCTCCTCTGATTTCTTCTTTGGGCGTTGGAACACACTAAATGAAGATACCGGGTGTATGTAACCAAACATATCTACCAGTAGTAGATCTGAACTTGATCCATGAGTTGCGTACGCGAGGGGGGCTCAAACCCGTTCATGCGCGGAGACTTGAAAACGCAAACAAATCATTCTGACACCGGTCCATCACTGAATGGGGGGTAGCAGGGGAGGGCGGGCTTCCACGACGAGTCACCAGCGACGGACACAGAAAAGCAAACTTGCATAAAGAAGACGACTGGGATTCGCAAGGAGAAAGGAACATGCCATGCACGGATTTGAACAGGCTCAAAACTTGCTTGGACACGCTAAAACATAGCATCAGTTTTCCCCACATCCAAACTGGGTTTCTTGTGTTCTCTCGATACCCCGCGCAGGAACCATAACCATAACACACCTACAGCATCACCAACTCATCAATCATCATCATCATCATCATCATCATCATCATCATGATCAGCATCATCATCATCATCGTCATCATCACTCCCGTAGCCATGTTGGCTCAAGGTTTTAACTTGCCCCGGAGCTAGAGGTTTGGTCGCAGCCGACAGGGAGGCCCGAGGGTTTGCCAGGAAGGTGCCCGGCCTGTGCCCCCTCGTTCAGCGCAGCGGCACTGCTGACAGGACAGATCTTCGCGATGGCGTCTATCATTGGCGATGAGCTGAAGGCGCTGCTATTGAGTACGCAGCAGGATTTAGGAGCCAAGATGGACTCCGCCAAGGCGGACACGGATGCGAAGTAAGACAATCTCACGAGGATACAGGCGAGCCTGGAGAGCGACGTGCAGCAGATGAAGAACAAATTCGACAAGAAAGTCGCGGAGTTTGGCGCCTCTTTCGCGTCGCCCCAGTCCCAGGTCAATGAGAGTCGGACGGCAGCAAGTACATATGCTCCATCGAGTGTTGGCTCCACGGCTAGCTACACGCGGATGGCTGGCGGAGACGGCAAGATGAGACGTGGAAAAGCTCGACAGAGTGACCCATGCAAGAGACTCATTGGCACATTCCCGAGGACGTTGCTCGGAAAAGAAATGGAAGATCACTGGCGGACAAAAGTACTACCACACCTGCCGCGAGGAGAGATCGACTGATGCAACGCTCAGTTCACCGGCTCGGCGAAGAGTTACCAGCTGATCTTCACCAGCGAGCTCCTGGCAAAGAGGTTCCATAATCTAATCGCCAGCGCCGACATCGATTGGATTGACAAGCGCACAAGAGTGTCACACAACATTAGAAGCATATCCGATCTTCCATTGGATGCACGAGCCAAACAGCGAGCGGCGTCGACGATCTATGTGAAGACACTCGAGTTCTTGAAGAATGGCCCTCATGGTACAGCGCTGAGCAGCTGTCGTCTTGGCGTCAACGGCGGCCAGGGCCTCATCAATGTATATGCTGACAGTGAAGTATGGGAATTATTCTCCATCCGTGGCAATGAGCAAGTCGGTTTCAGCTTCGGCCCCAACATCCAGAACCTTGAGGCGTGGGGTATTCCAAGCTCCAAGGTAGAAGAGATGCTTGCTGCGGTGGCGAAGGACCCGCGGCTTTTTGGTATCAGAAAGGGGCTGCTGCTGAGCATCGCACTACAGAAGATCATCGCGGCCATTTTGGCCAGGGCGCCGCGTCCTGGGCTACGGGGAGCTCGACGCGGTGCCCTACTCCTTCCTCCTCGGCGGCGGCCTCGCCCTCGGCTTCGAGTAGTCCTGAGGCCAGCAGTGACAGGCATGTGTGTTCTCCCCAGCCTGCCCCTTTTGCCCCCTCCTCTTCTCTTTCATTTGCGACCTGGAATGCCCGGGCTCTTGTCGGCAGCGCGCGCGGCTAGCGCAGGATTATTTCTAGCAGGTTTAAGCAGTTACACAGGCTTGTTAAACACTATGCTATAGTGGTTATACAAGAAATCTCATGGTGATGAAACTGATACCAATACCCTCATGCGTAAGCTACCCTGCCATCGTGTCTTCGCTTCCTACAATCCGAGTGCTGCTGCTAGTGGCTGTCTAACGATCGCGCGCGAGGGGGTCTGCAACCAGTTTGAGCAGATCTGGTTGGAGGACGTGATTCCTGGCAGGCTCGCGATTGTGCACCTGCGAAAGCAGGGGCAGGCTATGGCAGTTGCAAGTGTTCACCTCGATCCTACTATCCCCTTCTCGCACATGGAGGCTTCCCTACAACATCTGAACCGTTGTCTTCTTCCTCTTTCTCAGCGTGCGAGTTTTATCTTGGGCGGTTTCAACTTTGCGGAAGTTGGTGAGGTCCGGCAGAGGCCCGATGGCAAGACTGTTAAAAACCACCCTGGACAGGCTCGGTTTTTTTGCTGAACAATTTCCTGGATACACCGAACTGTCCCAAACTGATCC